TCAGTATTTTTTAAATTGTGGTCCATAGGCCTCCTGAGCTCCTGATAAAAATGCAGTTGCCGGGGACCCCTTTGGACTGAATCAGAAATATATCAGATCTACCTGAAAGCCACACATTTTAGCAAACGCTGTTAGGCAGTCTCATCTCAGAGAGCACAGAGTGAACAGCAAGCAGTGGTCTGCACCCTGAAGACCCTGCAGGCATCACCGGCTATGGCAGTGTCGTCATTGCTCTATTCACCAGGGCAGGGCAGTGTGGATCACATTTTTAATCACTTACATTGGGTCTAAAGTGAGAACCCAAACCGCTAAGCTTTAATCCTGACTCACAGACTGGCAGTGTGACCATTGGCAGCCACCTCATTTCTCTGCACTGTAAGATTCCTCTTTGGTCAAGGTTGCAGGTTAAACTGGATTGAAAGGTATCTGGAATATGCCTGCCCCACACTCCCTGCCCTGTGTGCTGGCCATAGCAGATGTTGCTAATCAATCATGACAGTCCTTGCTGAGCCCAGATGTGGCCCGGTATTTATTACAGTGCCCCAGGCACCCACTAGCAAGTGCTTGAAGTTGACTTCCAGTTGAAACTTACTTGTTATTGCTAGACAGAATGATCCACAAAGCTCCTATAAACCCTGAAAATCCATAACTCTCTTTAGGGAAAAAAGAAAAAAGGAATTTCATTTTTTGCTTAAAGGGTTTGTTTTCATTTATATAAATTTCACTCAACAAATATTTTAGTATTTTGATTTTTTTCAAGTCTTATACAGACCTTCCTCTCCCACTTATTCCAGTCTAGATTGTAATTATGACCTAAATGTGGCTTGTCCTGAGAACCTTCCCAATCTTCATTATTAAATTATGCCAAAAGGCTGGGACTAACTTGACTTAAACTTATGCTTTAGGTCAGCTTGAATTTGAATATATCCTATTCAAAATACAAGTTTAGAGTTTGGGAATTTGCTATTTGAAAAAAAGAAAGAAAGAAAGCCCTAAATTTAAGTACTTTAGGGAAAAAAAATATAAATAACAACTTTCTAAAGTAATGAAACCAGGCCTGGCTTATTGATTACTCCAAGGAAATTCTCAGACCATTTGTAAATAATTCAAAGTTCTGCATTTTTGTGTAGGAATTCAAGAATCATGCTTACAAATTATCTTAGACTAAGGAAAAAAAGTTAAAAAAATACTGGTGCAGTAGACGTTTATTCTCAAACCCCATGAATTCTGTGCTAATAAAAACATTGCTATTCTTTCCACTGGCACTGAGTTCCAATTGTTGAAAATGGTGATTTTGCTCCTTTTATTAACCTCTAAGAACATTGTGTCAGGATGGGAAACGAGTATTTCAAGCAGGCAAACAATCTCCCCAAAGCAATTAAGGAGAAATCTGGCATTGGCATGAGTAGGTGCGTTTTGATATTCTGATCCAGACTCAAAACAGAAACATTTGGTTCTGGACTCTTCTTTGTGAGGTCTGGAAGAGTTCCCTTGACATCAACTGTGCCCTGGATCCAAACCCACACCTTATTTCCGAAGAAGCCTCGTCAGGAGCTTGGACTGTGTTGCATTATTGAACCAATCACAAGGCCCGAGAAACCTCACACTCTGATGGGAAAATGTACCCAGACAAGTGGCCCTAGGTCAGATGGAGCCCATTACATCAAATCTCAGGAAATTGGACTAAGGACCTGGAGGGCAGAAGGATTGGCTGAGCTAGTAGGATTATCTGAATTTTAAAATTTTTGACCAGAAAAAGATGTATTACACTAAGATACACAAGTAGCTGAAACTTACTCCAAGTGTGTGTCACCTGGTTAGAGGAACCTCAAAGGTGACCCCATCCTTTGTAATCAGCAGAATCTCTGTGCACATGAGTCTTGTGATCAACTTCCTTAAATGGTTGTTCACTTACACGTGATCACCATTCTCCCTGCGACTGTATGGCGTGATGAAAAGAGGAGAGCATTTGTAATCCAAGGAGCTGAGTTCAGCTCTGAAGTCCCTTGTGTAGAGCCTGCATGTGAGAAAAGAGAAGATCCTGAAAGGAGGCAGTATGACAATAGCTAACAATGATCACTGAGGCCTTAAACTGATCCCTAAACTCTATGATCTTGAGTTGGTTTACCTGTAAAATGGAACCATGGCCTGTGCCCCACCTGCCTCACAAGGAATATCCATTGGTCTGCCTGGAACCTGGTTCCTCCAGAGAGCTGCTTGGTGTATTCCCTCACCTCTTTCAAGTCTCACTTTCTCAGAGGCCAGCCTTGACCAACCTTTTCAATACCATAACCTGCTGGACCTGCCGTGTCTTACTGCAGATCTTCCATATCCCATTCAGCTTTTTTTCTTAGCACTGATGCTAACATATCTCTTTGCTATAGAGTTTATTACGTATTATCTTTCTACCAAGTGGAATATCCACTGGGGCAAAGACCTCATGTTAGGGCTTTTTTTCATTGAAAAAAAAATGTGTTGCACCTAGATCTGTGATTGGCACAGAAAAAAAGCACTCAACACATACATTTTAAAATGAGTAAATGAAAGCTAAGCCTCCAAGCAACCAGAAAAGCCTATGCAGCATAGCTGATGTGACTTATTCTGAGGACAACCCTAGAGTCCTCTGAACAGAGCCTATTGACTCTTACTTTTACATATCATCCCAACAAATAGACTCTGGTTTCCTAGTTCACAATATATTAGAAAAAACCCTAAAAAATGGCAGTATGACAATAGTTAGCAGTGATCACTGACACCTTGACAACAAGAGAGGAGATGGAAAACTTAAAAACAAGCTGGAAAAATAAGACCATTTTATAAAGGTAAATAGTCTCTGAAGATTCCACGGACATGAAATGATACACAGTTATTGTGTTTAGAATAATGATTTAAATCATTAAGGTTGGATGATGTTCACTAAACACCATTTAAGATGGTAGGAGTATGTGTCCAACACTGCAGTTTATTGAACATCTAATAGGTACCAGGCACTGTGCTACCTGCTGGAGATTCTTAAAGGGAGATATGTGTTTGTTGTCTGAAGCATGCAACAAAAAATGTAAACAACTTTATTTTTAATTTTGCCCAGAAATATTGAGGTTTTAGCATGTATGAGGGTGTAATTAACTACCCTGGTAAATTTCCTCATATGAAAGAGCTCATTCCCTGGATAAATGATGTGTTGCCATGTATTATTGTGAATCCCAAAGTTGGAAGTACATTACTGAGCTCATCAGACTTACACCAAAGGGATAAATTTGCTGCCTTAATTAACATACAGTGTTTAATCCAAACCCATCCTTCTTTCCACTTTCAAAACGTATCATTGTTGACAGGTAAGGTAGAATTTGGCAGCCAAAAGGAAGCTGACATTAGTCAGCATCATATTTGTAACACTCAAATTAACACTCTATTATGCAGTTTCAGTGTTAGTCTATAATTTTTCATATGAAAAGTTTTCTCACCAACAAGACTGCAAATTCCTTAACATTAGAAGCAAGGTCATAAATCTGACTTGAACTCAGTGCTGTGAATGTTCAGACTGAGACTTAGCTAGTGTTTATTCATTGTCTCCTGTATGTGAGCTCTGGGCAAGGCATTTTTTTTTTTTTGGTATCCTTAATCTACAGTTACGTGGGGAACATTATGTTTACTAGACTCCCCTTCACCAAGTCTCCCCCACAAACCCCCCTACAGTCACTGTCCATCAGCGTAGTAAGATGCTGTAGAATCACTACTTGTCTTCTCTGTGTTGTGCATGGGCAAGGCATTTTGACATGTTATTTCATTTAATCCTTATATTGTCTCTTAAGGAATCTTGTGGTATAGATGTTATCATCATAGTTTTTGGAGTGAGGAAACTGAAGCTAAGTGATTTATATTAGGTAGTTTATGATCCTACATTTTGTAAGTGGATTTGAATTCAGGTCCTGGACTTCCAGTCCAGTGTTGTGGAATAATGGGTTTTAGCCATGCCTGTCCTTAGCCTTCTACTGGAGTTTAGCATCATCTAAGAGTATTTTTTAGCTCTTGGATTATTTATTTTCCTTTTGTCATTTGGACCCTAACTGGAAGACCAAATCTCACATCTGGACTGCAGTTTAGCACCCAAAAATGAACTTTTATGTATGATAGAGCTAGAGTATATATTTTTTTATCTTTTGGTTATTTTTCCTTTTCTACTCACATAGCTTGTAGTCAAATTATTTTCCTTAGACTTTCATACTAAAATAATTTGCCTTTGGGTAGAGGCCAAGCACAGACCATTTTCAACTTTCTACAAGATTGTTTTTCTAAGTAGTTCAAGTGAAAGAATTCCTGAGTCTTACAATGGGCATTTGTAAGTTGGTTATTTTGAGCAATCAGTGCTCAAATGTGGTCTTTTTCAAAACCTTGTGTCTTCTCACTGCACCTACCCTTAGGAAATGACCCAATAACTACACAAAAAACAAGAGCAGTGACCCAAAAGCCCACACCAGATCTGTTTCCAGATTCATGTAATAGTTTGTCTCCTTTGTGTTGAAATTTTAATGAGGCTATTTAATTTTCCAGTCTTTACATAGCTATGCATAAAAATTCCTTCTTACCTTTGAGGAAACTAAGAATTGGAAAGAAGGACCCTAGAACTAAATATAATAATCATATGGCTTACATTTGTCAAGTACTCTCCTTGTGTCGGAATAATGCTAAGTGCTTTATCTGCATCATTATAGTAAAGACCGACAACCCCCTGTGGTAGATAATTTTCCATTTAAAATAGGTGAACCAACGCTCAAAGAAAGAAATTGTTTAAAGTCGTTCAGCTGTAACAAATGCCAGATCCAGGAGTCAAAACCAAATCATACTGGCTCCAGAACTCTTGTTCTTCAACTTTTTTTAAAAATTAACTTTTATTTTTTGAAACATTTTAGATTCACAGAAAAGTTACAAAGAATAATTCAAAGAGTTCTTCATATATACCTCCCCCCACCCCCACCCCTTAACACGTTACATTTCCAAGATTTGTCAAAACTAAGGAACTGATGTCGGCACATGATTATTAACAAACTCCAAACTTTATTTGGATTTCACCAGGTTTCCCACCAAGGCCCTCTTCCTGTTCCAGTATCTAGTCCCGGGTGCCACGTTGCCTTTAGTTGCCGTGTCTCCCAAATCTGCCTGGTCTTTGACAGTTTCTCTGTCTTCCCTGTTTTTCATGACCTTGGGAAGTATTGACCAGCTATCCCGTAGAAGCCTGCCCAGCTGGGTTTGTCTGACATTTTCTCATGATTAGACCAGAGTTCTGAGCTTTTGAAGGACTATCACAAAGGTAGAACCCTTGTTCTTAACCACTTCCTGAGACTGTGTCACTTCGAGACATGCCTGTATTCCAGGTGGTCAGAGTATTTCTGTTTGCCATTGTACCAAAGAATGACCTACAGCTCTAATGTGATTTTGGAAAAAGGTGGGGGGTGGGGGTGGAGTGTTCATTTAAGAATATAAAATCATTAAAAATCCCATAATAATTTGCTTACTTGCATATTGACAGTTGATAACTTGATAATGTCAGCACTGAGAAATACCTCATGAAGTGAGGTTTCAGGTGAAGAGAAGTCCCAATATCTTCATGATGGAAATCTTCCCGAGAGAAGTAAACCTACATAAGGCAAAAGCTTTATTCAGAAAAATTCCTTTAGTGCTATTTATATTTTAAAATAGTGTAAATGTTTAACAACAGAGGAATGTTTACATAAATTATAGCATATCCCCATAATGCCTTTAAAATGATGTTTATAAAAGGTAGGTAGTAGTATAGACAACATTTAGTGGAAAAAGCAAAATAGAACATTGCATATTCATTACAGTCACAACTAACATACATTGTTCAAAAATGAAAAGAAGAAAATAAACCAAAATGTCAAGAGTGGCTGTCTTTGGATGGTGGATCATCAGTAAGTTTTACTTCCTTCTACTTTTCTGCACATTCCAACATTCCATGCAATTTGCATGCTTATGTTTTCTTCTGTTTAAAAAATTATTTTCAAAGGGACGTACTCTTAAGCCACTACAAAAGGTGACTTTAAAAGATGACTATACAGAAGAATCCTTTAAAGCAGGACACATGAAATAGGCTTCAGTCTGTCCTAACCCCCACGCTTAGTGTCCCCAGGGTCAAGATGCTGACATCATGTGTGTATGGGGCGTTGAGAAGAGGAAGGAGGCATCCACCACTTCCCACCTCACATGGCCCTGAGCCCCCACATACACACACGCCCACACCTGGAGAGCCCTCCAGGGCAAAGGGCGTACCTGTAGCAACCTGCCTGTAGACTGAAACAGGTGGACACTTACTAGCTTTGTGATCTTGAATCAAGAGGTAGTGTAAGGGAGTGGCTAAGGGGAGTCCCACTGCCTGATTTGAACTTGGACAGGTTATGTAATTCTCTGTGTCTCCATTTCCTTATCTACAAAATGGGAAGAATAACAGCAGCATCCTTATGAGGTTTGGGGGAGGACAAAGTAAGTTAATACCTGAAAGTGCTTAGGTACCGGCACGTAGTAGTTACTTAATGAACGGTATTTAATATGATTGCTTGTGATTAAACAGTTGATTTTTATTCACCAGGAATTTGAGAATCCCTTACTAAATGATATCTCAGGTAACCACCAACTCTAAAATGCCGTCAGTTATCTAGAGGCTACAGCTTCTCAAACTGTGACTCTGAAAAATATGTGTAGAATCTTAAATGTGGCCAGAAGCTCATTAACATCTTTTCATGTAGAAGAATCATGTGTGAATTCCTGCTTTGATTTCTGAGAGTCAGAGAAGCATGTCCCCGAAGGACCTCCAGCTGAAGGCCGTAGCTCTTGGGTTTTCATGCTGAATCATATAAAAAAAGAATTTGGTTCTGCCAGCGTGGATATTCTTACAGCCCCAAACTCTTAAAATTCTCTTGTGGCCACACGTGACATGATTTAACATTTTAGACATTTTATAGAGAAGCAACTTGTTAATTTATTTGATGTGGTAAGTGCTCTGGAACTGGGCATGCCAAACCCTTACATTTAATACAATATTAAGAATAATGGAGTACAAGAGAAGTGGCTTGATCTGTTCAGAGGTTAGTGAATACAGAGAAGCTACTGAAAAGCTCATTTTCCAGAGCACTGAATCCAGAGAAGTGTTGGGCAAGTGAAGTGAGTATGTGGGGCTGAGGACTCAGCTTTGGGAGACTACAGACAACATCCTTTAGCACCTGGTTGGCGACCATTGCTGGGAAGATGCAAAGACAAAGAATGAGGTCCAAGATATGAGCAGCACCCTGGGAACTGGGAGACCTGCTCCCCCCTCACCCCCAGGAAGGTGGGTCTTGCTCTGGGGGACCCTCGATGTCCAGCCTTGGCCCACTGTGGGCCCGGACAGAAAGGAAGACAGGGCCCTAGTCTGCTCTTGTGGAGCAAAGGGAGTCTTAGACTCACAGCAAGGATGTAATCCAGTCTATGTGTTTGGGATTTATATTTATCCCAAATCAGGACAATTCAAGAGAAGATGTTTTCACTTAGTTGAGATGAGTTTTACCTTCTACATGAGAAGTGAAAGTAACATTTGCAGAGCACTTTGCAGCCCCCAGTGCTGTGATAGTCTTTGGAGGAAGGCAGACCTGAGTTGAATCCCTGATTCACAATTTGTGAGCTGTAAAACTGGGGCAAATTCCTTAAGCTCTGTTCCCCAGTTCCTTCTCAGAGGTGCTGGAAGCTTCTGTGAGACTCTGTTTCAGAGTACTGAGCACAGAGCTGGGCACGTAGTGAACACTCCGTAAATGGTGGCCTTTGCTGTACTGTCTTTCCTCCTCACAGCAACCCTTCCGGTGGTGGTTGCTACGGCCCCTGTTTACAGATGAGGAAACCGAGGTTTAGGGAAGCTAAAAACTTGCCCGAGATCAGTCATATAGAAGCAGAGGAAGAGCCAACATTCAAGGCAGTGCCTTCCTTTGCCTGCAGCACCAGCCAGATAGTCATTTCTGTCAGTCAAATTACAAAGGGTTTTTTGAGCTGTTAGAGTAAGGCTCTAAATTATGACATCCAAGATTTTTCGACCCAAGCCACAAGCAGTTAAACAGCCAGTGAGCCCAGGTCTGCAGTGTGGCCAGCACAGGGAGTCCCCACAGGCACAGGTCGGCGGGTGAGGTAAGGGCTAAGGCCCAAGTTCAAGAGAGTGTCTGGAAAGTCTTCTGGGCTTGGGGCCATATTTGGAGTTTGGGGCTCTCCAGACCCAGCGCCACAGGCCTGAAAACTGGACTCCGAGGTTTTCCACTGTGTCCTGACCTTTCTGGCCAACAGTCAGTTCAGTTCTGTTCAGCGGAACACTTAGCCGCTATTGTCAGCCAGACACTGTTTGGGTTTTGAGTTGCTGCAAGTCTCCATCATTCCTCTGCAGACTCAAAAGCAGACACTGTCAGTCATTATTCGTGCTGTGGGCACAGACTTCGTCATCCAGCCAATCCACTTTGAGCAGCGGACAGCATGCCCTGTCCCACGCAGTCAGAGAGAGCCGCAGGCAGCCCGCGGATTCAGGCACTCGCGGCCACCCTGGCTGATCCAGTTCCCCAGTTCTATGGCCACCGAAAGGAAGCCAGATGGGTGTTGGAGGCACCAAGTCCAGGGTGTGAGTCCCTTAGGTGAGGCTTCCCAGGAACCCTGGGGTGGAAAGTCGGGTGCCTTCCTAACAGCCTGAGTTTTGTTGCACCTTCCGCTTCGTGCACGGCACCCCTCACTTGGCACGTGCTCTCCATATTTGCTAATCCTACCCATGATATTAGGTCCACTTTTAAAGCCTCCTTCTCCAGGCAGTATCAGGAAGAGTTTCTTTCCTTTGAACCCACAAGGTATTTAGTTTCTGCTTGTTGATCACTTTCTTTATTCTGAAATATTTCAAACACAGAAAACGTGTAAGTGTGAAGAATATGTATTTAGCTCACTTCTGACTATTATAATAATCATACTGGACCCGTGTGTGCATTATCACACAAATCATCTCATTCCTAATTATTTCTAGATTCACACAAATCTTTTCATTCCTAGATTGTAAGCTCTTAGAAGACAGGCAGTGGAATTCATTCTTTGATTCATTTAGTAAATATGTGTTCAGAACCCAGTATGGGGAGGTCTGGGTGACAGGATGCAAAGGTTAAATGGCACGGACTATCTTCCAGGGGTCTCTGTTCCAGAGGACACTCACTATACATGTAGTCGGACTGGTGGTCATTTCAGAGGGGAAGATTTTCACCGAATATCTGCAGTGGACCAGACATTAAATGTTCAAGCTCAATGGAACTCTTCGTTAACAGCACCACTTGTTTGTCGGGTGCCTGGGACTAGTCATTAACCCCACCAGGTCCAGTTTCCTCTGATGAGAAGACACTGTTTTATTGTGTTCCAAAACGCAGCCCAGAGGTCCAACCCTGGCATCACCAGAGATGAGCTTCATGAATTTGTTCAAAGGGTTTAACTTCTATGTAAATCCCGGCTTCATGATCTATAAGTGCTGCTGATAATAGTATCTGTCTAAAAGGGGGCTTGTGAATGTTCCATGGGAAAACACAAGCACAGTGTATTTAGCACAGAGGCCGGCACATAATAAGTGCCCAGCAATTGGTGGTTGTAATGATGATGATGTTGTTTATGTCATCTTTTAACCAAAGTGTATGTGCCCTTGTTGACGTCAGAAAATCTGGGAAGTCATTAAGAATTTTTGCTCTCTTCATTACAGTGAACCATCAGCCTATTACTTAAATTGAAGTTTCAGAATGTTACTATTACTATCCCTTCTATGTAAATGTATATCTCAAATAATTTGATCTCAGCCTTACTTAGAGAATGCTGAAGTTTTGTTTGTTAATTTTTTTCAACCAACAGATTTGGCTCCAGATAACAGAAAGAACCAATAATTCCTTGTGTGTCTCTTGACCCCCTCGGGACACTGGGGCAGCCTTCTAAGCCTGGGAGCTCTGCTGGCAGCTGCACCCTTGAACCTCTAGAGGGAGCCTAGAGGGTATTTGAGTTCATTACTCTGCCTCTGGGCAAAACTGAGCTTAAACCGTACCTGAAAACATCACTATTGCTAATGGATTCTCAGAGAAAAATCCCAGGATCTTTTCCCCAAATAGTCTCAGATAGTGATCGACCACTTCCATAGCCCACGTACTTAATTTTATCAGGATTGGGTGTCACTTCAAAGTGGTCTCCGGCTCCCCACTGTGGCTCCTCCTAGGATTTTTACCTAAATTAAACAAGCACGTGTGGACTCGGGGACACACAAACCTTATCTCTTGGCTGCCTCTTTGTCCCTCTCCAAGAAACAGGCATAGCATTGCACAAATAATGAGCTGCAGCTGAACTTCAGTCAGCTAGATCCTTCACAGAATGTTTAGAACTTTTCTTGTCAAAGAAATACCTTCCGTTATTTTCATTTTTTCCTTGTCTTCATTTGTAACCTTACACTCCTTCGAGGAGTGTACTGCTTATGCTTAAGTTAATCAATTCTGGACTGAAATGTATTATTTATGTTCCCTCCAAACAATAGCCTGGTGCCAAGCACTTAGGAAATAACCTGATAGGTACGTTTGGCTTACAGGGACAGTCTAGGCACAATCCTCTTCCTAGCATGCCAAAAAGAATGATTCTGGGGCCTCAGTCTCTTTCTGAATAACAGAAGGCAGATGAGAGCCCTTCTCAAATATCTGAAAGGCCATCAAGTAAAATGAAGAACAGACTTTTTCTGCATCTCCAGAAGGCAGACCAAGGGCATGTAAGTAGAGTTTATGGCGAGATTAGCTTTTGCTCACTGTAAAGAAAAACTTTCTCAAGAGCACTGACTTCTCCATCTCTGGGGGTACCTAATGGGAAGCTGAAAAAACATCTATCAAGGATACTGCAGAATGGGGTGGGGAGGACCCTCTTAGATCCCTTCCAAATCAAAGATTCTGTGCATCTCTTTTTGGGAAGGACTTATTTTCTTAGTTTGCCTTTTTTTGATCATAGTGACTTGAATCTTCTGGAATATTTTTACCCTGTAGGAAAAAACTGTGCCCCTTAAGTCAGTGGTGTTACACAGTATTATGGGATCAGAGAAGAAGGAGTGACTAACAACGTGTGTGGTGGGAAAAGGGAGAGAGGAAAGGGTCAGGGGAAGTTTCACAGCCCCGGAAACACTGGAGGATGAGAAGAGTTCGAGAAAGCCGAGGGTTTCCAAGGCAAAGGGATGAGAAGATCAAAGATCTTGGATTATTCAAGGCATGATGTGTTTTCTGGAATGGCTGGACTTCATGCCATAAGAACAAGGGTAAAGCAGAGGTTAATATAATAAGTAGGGGTGATATTAAAGCCTGTGTGGCACAGATCTAAACCAATCAAAACAGTGGCCAGCCACTTCCCAGGGCTGCTGGAATACCGGGGAAATATCAGCCCCATCAATAATAAGTCTGAGAAACAACTTTTTACCAGAATATCCCAAATAAGAAGTGGCCCAACCCCATTCTCAGTTTAGAAGGATCACTGAGAAGAGGAGGGATGGCTAAAATCTAGTGGCTGTCAGTGTAAGTTGAATAGCATTTACTCAGCAGGTTTCAAGAAGCAATGCTATCCTAAACCGTAAGCCCAGCTACTAAAAATAAGCCTATTCCTCAGTCCACAACAACAGCACTAATAACAAAACCCACATGGGCCAAAACGAAAATCAAGCTGATGGTTTACAAGAAATGTAACCCTATCTCCTTGTTGTGTTGTCAGTGCCAGACTGGCTTGCAGGCAAAGCATGGTTGGCATGGATGACTGAGCAAATTTGCCGAAAACAGCAACCTCACATGTTTATACTTCTTTTTCCTGGTGACACATGGATTAGAAAAAGAAGTAAGGATGATTAAGACAGTAAACACCACATAATCCAAAGGCAGACAGATGACCGCCCAGTCAAAGCCAGTCAACCAGCCAAAGTCACCACGTCGCACCACCAAAACTCCTCCACTTTTCTGTGCAGGGAGCATCAGCGGCCCTGGGACCATCAGTCAGTTCCCAGGGGGCAGTGGGGGATTTTCCCATCATCCCCATGTGAGAACATGAGGCCTGAGCAGCGCCTGAAGAACATCGGTCACTAGTGTCGTCAGGGATATTTGAGGGGGACTGTGAAGCTCATGGAGCATGGGGGAAGCCTGAGAAGTGGAATGTGAGCACACTGAAAGAAAGGGCCCTGAAAATAGCTTCCCCAAAGGCTGGCTGCTGATTGGTTCTTTATGGTCAAGGCCAGGGTTCTGAGCGGCACTTGTGTACGTGACTGTAAGTGGCCAGAGACACTGTCTTCCCTTTGCCGCCCACAAAGAGAAACTTACTAAGGCATGTCCCTGAGATGTTTCTCCAAATGCCAGGTCAACAGAGTATGTCAAAGGCCCAGAAGGGAAGCGGTGTACTTGGAGGCAGTCATGTGACCATGGGCAGGTGAACTCTCTTGGCATCAGTCTCCTCGTCTGTAAAACCAGCTTCACTTACCTATGGACCTGCTGTGGCAGTCTCCTAAGATAAAGACAGAAATGGCTGACTCCATCATTGCTCCATAAGGGCCGCATGATTTTGTTGCTATTATTATGTTCAGAGTCACTCAGGTGGCTCTGGGAGGGGAGGAGAGGTGGATCTTCCCTCTGCAGCATGGGGTGGGCTTGGGGAGGGGGACACACGGACTCCGGAGGCTCCTAGGAAGTGGGTGGAGTAGGGAAATCATCCAAGCTTTCTGAGCAATTGTGGGAGGCCCGTGGGACAAGGCAGGGAGGCAACTCAGGGAAGAGAAATCTCTGGAAAAGTCCTGGAGGAAGGGACTTGAAGTGAAAAAACCATGGACTTTAGAGTGAGACTGTCTGGGTTGGAAGCCTAGCTCGTTCCTCCCTCTGACTGTATGACTCAGGGAAGTTAGTTTCCATTGCATCTGTCAACAGCACCCAGAGCAGAAGAGACTGCAGAGCCAGATCCCCAAACCTGTCTTTGAAGAGGGGAGCTGCTGTAGGGTTTTAGAGGACAGATTAAAACAGCCAGACCTGTTTTAGAAACTCACTCCAGAAGCACTGTGAGGACCCCACTAGACAGTGGGTACTAGTCATGAAGTGCGTGTGTGCGTGTTGGGAGTGGGCAAGGGTATTCCACAGAGCTCTGATTCCTTGGTGCAGATACTCATTTTTCTCATTTGATCCTCACAGTAGCCCTCAGAGGGTGGCAAAGCAGATTTTATTAGCCCCATCCACAGATGAGGAAAACTGAGGGGCAGAGATAAAGCAGTTTGTCTGAGCCTGACTGGCTGTGAAGCTGGGCTGTAAGTCCAGCACTTTCCCCACTATCCCACACTGGATTATGTATGATGTAACCATGTCAGGAGTAAAAGCCTTTTGTTCCAAATTAAAATATATGGAAGACAAGAGACATAGTAGATGCTTAATAAAGACTTAAAAATTTTTTTTCTACAAAGTGCAAAATTTAATAACAAATCTCTATGACAAATTTTCATATATACAGTTTCCCATAAAAAACATTTCTAGTTTCAAGGGTATAAGACAACAGTACTTAGAAATAGGGGAATAAACTTTCTAATATCATGAGAAGTCTCTTTGAATAAGAAACAGAAACTCATCTTAAAGATAATAAGATAAACTACAAAATGGGAGAAAATGTTTCCAAATCATATATCTGGTAATGATCTAGTATCCAGACTATATAAAGAACTCTTATGACCCAACAACAAAAAGACAAAAACAACTAAGAAATGAGAAAAGCACTTAAATAAACAGATATTTCTCCAAAGAAGACACACCAGTGGCTAACAGCACAGGAAAAGATGCTCAGCATCATTAATCTTTAGGGAAATGCAGATCAAAATCACAATGAGGTACCACTTCATACCCATGAGGTTGGCAGTAATTTTCAAAAGCTGGAAAATAATCAGTGTTGGTGAGAATATGGAGAAATGGAAACTGTGGTACGTTGCTCTTGAGACTGCAAAAGTCAAACAGAATTATCATATGACCCAGCAAGTCTGCTCTAGGTATATGCCCAAGAGAATACTGAAAACAGGTGCTCTAACTTAGTGGTTTTTACTCACATTACTTGTGTCAACTGGCTCCCAAATTACCCTGCCTGTGCCACAGTTTTCTCTTCTATAAAATGGGGCTAATAACAGTATCTGCCTCATTCAGTTGTTAAAAGGTTAAGTAAGAGATGTAAATCTATTTATCTATGTAAATCTATTTACCTCTATGTAAATGTTTTTATGTTTAAACATCATGTTTTTGTATATGTTTACATTTATATCACATATAAAATTCCTACTTTCACCCTGTTTTCAGATGTTTCTCAACAAAACAAGCACTTGTAATATTCAGAGAGCATTGGTTTTAAGAGGGGAAACTTCTTTGCTCTCTTTTTCTTCTAAGATACAAACTCTCTGCCGCAAGGTATGCACTCTTGCTCCATAGCATTTCCCAGGCAGATGTGAAGTCTCGTGTTAAAAGGTCATGCTGTGTTTGCGTAGACTTCACGTCATTGGGATGGGTGGACAAGGAGGCAGCAACAGGCCTCTTCTCAGTAGACTTCTAGGGTTTCTCCCTCCCACCCCAGCAAAACGGTGTGTGACTTCCAGTCTCCACCTTCGCCTTACAATCCTTTGGTCAGAAATGGTCACATGGACCCAATCCAGCTGTAAGGAAGGCTAGAGATATGTTGGAAGTATATGGACTATTGGGTCAGCCACTGACTATCTCTACCATAGGTCTGGGAGAACTTAAGGAACTCTGGGCCAGCAGTTCACTTCTGGTTCTGTCCTGACTTACAAACTTGTTCCTTGGGCCTGAATTCCAGATTCTAGGTACTAGGACTCCTGTGGTCTCATTCCTGCCTTGATAATGTACCTCAGGTCCTATCAGGTCCTAGAACTCCAGCCCTTTCACTGAAAGGCAGTTTAGGAATCTGGGTCTCTGCTGCCTGATACTTACCAAATCTACTTATTACACCTCTCTGTATTGTCAGATGTCAGACGCCCTGCTCCACATATACCACCTGTCTGCCTGAGCCTGTGCCTTCTGCTGGACTTGTCTGCCAGACTTTTCTGCTTATCTTTTACCAGAACCTTCGCCCTATTCCTGTTGCTCCCTTGCTGTGCTGGTTCTCTACAACCTGATCCACTCTGGTTTGACCCATCCCATCATCATTCAAGACCTGTTTCTGACAGGGGAAATGGAAAACATAAAGGAAAAGGAGAGAAAGTACAGAAAAGCAAAACAGAAGAGAGGTAAACTGATATGATAATTAAACATTGAGTTTAGAATAAGGCTCAAGTCTAAACTCTGCTACTTCCTACTGACATGATGTCGGCCAAGTCATGGAACCTTTGGGAAACTCACTTCCTCAGCTGTAACACGGACCAGGTAGACCAGATGATTGTGCAGGTCCCTACCAGCCCCACATCTTACAATTCTACATGTAGGTAAGAAACCTTGATGTCTGTTCGGCTGTCCTGACTGAGAGGTATCATGGGCTGGATTTTGAGTGGGAACTACTTAGGAGTATGGAGTGCTTCTGCTGAACATTTTCCTGGACTTCACTGAGTAAACCCTGAAACCTGCACTTTCAAAATGGAGAAAGGAGAGAGTTGGCTTTAAATATCTGTCATCTGACTACGATGGAAGTATTAAAATTTCACAAGTAGGATATTTATAGGGCCTTTACATTCTGCTCATTTTTGCAGTCAGAAGAGACTGAAGTTCAGTATGTTCTCAAATTAGCTAAAGAAACCCCTTTTCAAAGACCCCTCACTCCATCTGGTTATCATTATTAAAGCATTATGGGTGGGTGTGCTTTCCATAGGAAAAAAATGAATAATCCCTTAAAATATATAATTTCATAGATTTTGAAGTATGAAGACAACCATTAAGGGAGCTTGTAAAGCAGTCTGAGGCACAGTGTGAGTTGTCAGGGGAAAAATATCAAAGAATTTTCAATAACTGAAGGTTCAGAGGATTCTCATGCCAAGGCCTAGGATTGTAAGAATACTTCTTGGAATTCCTAAAGACTCTTGTTCATTGCATGGAGGCATCTGAACCAAGAAGATAAATTCTGAACCACCTGGACCATATTAGAGCATCTGGGATGTCAAAAGATAAGGACTCACCCAGATGTACCTCCTAACACAAATGCCTTCCCAAAGCACAAGCCAGCTGGGAGTTTCTAGCTATGGCATTTCATTCCAAGAGCACTGTGCCCTGTGCCAGCCTTGCCTCTTAGACATCAACCTAAATCAGGAAACATTTTCCTTTAAGCAAGGTTTAGCAGAAAAGGTGGGGCCTGGAGTCAGGCTGACCTTGAGCCAGATCCAAGTTGCCAGCTCTGCCACGCACGTGCTCTGTGACCTCAGTGCCTGCAGTAAATTCTTCTTGACCTGTACTGTTGAACTAAGGCAATTATTCATTTGATTTGATCACCAGAGTCCTTCCTCTAAGATAGTGTTTAAGAGCACAGGCTTTAAAGGCCAAACAACTGGGGTCAGATCCTGGCTTTACAAGTACAGAATTTCTATGCCTCAGTTTCTTTATCTGTCAAATGGACATGATAGTATCTACGTCGTAAGCTGATGATGAAGATTATGAGTCAAAAGTTCTTAAAACACTGCCTGATACCTAGTAAGCACTGTATATGTACTCACTGTGGAAGGAGTATTCTGGAAGTTTCTCATGTGATAAACACTCCAAAAATATATATATATATATATATATACACACACACACACATATATATATATATATACGTAATACTTTCATTTTATTTCTTTATTGATATTTAATTGATTTTATGTGTTTCCATATATTATGAGCCCCTGTCAAAGTCTTTAAAATCCTTCAAAGGCCTCCATGAAAAAGAACAAAACTCTTCTACTGTTCAGTGCCTGATGGCTTACCAAGTACTTTAGTGAATGACAATTTGGTCTGGCCTCCACGCCACCCTGCACAGATCCCACCTGGCTTGGGCTGGCTGAGTCCCCAAGGAGGCCTGGCAGTCGGCTGAGAAGCTCATGGCTGCCTTGTCTCCCAGACACTCAAGCCCCAGCAGGTCATGGATTTGCCATTGTTGTTTCCTGCTACCTTTAAGGGCTACCCTGCAAAGTAGGGAGATGATTCCACTATTACCATCCCGGATTTGGGGCTGGAATTGTTTTCTCACTGGAGGAGAAAAAAACAACTTTGGAACTTGCCATTTGGATGGGAATTTAAATGTCTCTTCAACACAGACCTGTGTTTTGTAAGTTGGTGAATGCATGGGGGCAGAGAGGGGAAGGGAAAGGTCCTCAAGTAATGTAATATTGCCATTAACTTGTGAAATTGTCCCCAAAATTTAAACCATAACACTCAGGGCTGGTGATAATGCAGTAAGATGCTACTTGCCCTGCTAGTGGGATTGTAAATTGCTCCAGACTTTCTGAAGGTAATCTGGCAATATGCCTAAAGAGACTCAAAACTGTTCTGACTCTCTAGAATTTAAGCTTCATGAGAAAGCTTTTGCCTGTTTTTAAATTTTTAAAATTATTATTACTGCATTACCAACTTAGAGTGTTGTCTAGCACCTAGGGGGTGCTCATTAAGTATTTGTTGAATGAATGAATGAGAGAATCAGCAATCTCTTAAGTCCACTTCAGGTATAATTCAATCTAAAGAAAAGTTAGAAATGCAAACAAAGTTCTATGTGTGCCCACCACAGCATAATTTATAATAGTGAAAGCTTAGAAATAATACAAAATGGGCCTCATTAGACAATCAGTTGAAATGTTTTTGAATGATGTTTTAGGTTGTAGTTTAAATGTATGGGATGATGTTTTGTATGATTTTAAGTGGGAAAAAAAGAATAATATGAAATTTTACATAAATATGATCTCAACTTTGTTTAAACAATTTTTTTTTAAGTATAGGGAAAATATGAGAAGAAAATGGTCCAAATGATACAATGGTTATCTCTGAATGATGAGAATAGGTATAATTTTTATTGAATTTTTCTGAACCTCCCAGTGTATAATAAGTATATATTCCTTTTAAGTTTAGGAAAAAGGTTTATGTTACAAAATCCCTACTGAATTTAGAGTAAGATGGGTTCAGGCCTGTGACCCAGCTCTGCCACTTGCTCATTGTGTGCTGACATCCCAGAGATTTTGTGCAGCTCATATATGTGAAAGTGTTGTTTTGCAAAATATTAAGAGTAAATCCAAAGTTTGAAATGATGGCTTTTGTTGTTGTTCTTACTACCGTTGTAGCAAAATGGCACCTTTTAAGAAAGGCTCCCAGAGCATGACAAGATCCTTTCGTGACGGGTGGTAAATTCCCACCAGGTTGGGAATGACATGTCAGTTCCTAGAGGGGGGTGGATGCCTGTGTTGTTTTGTATGGTACAATGCCTGGCATGTTGCAGGTGCTTGCTAACTTTGCTGTTCCGGAGGAAAGGCTGAGGCATGGCTGACCTGCCATGTTCGTTTGTCAGGTCAACAGCAGACTGTGACCCTGGTGTACGGAAGTGAGTGATTTTCCTGGCAGTGAGTCTCACCTGCCATCAGCATCTCCACACACTTCCTTGTTCTTTTGTCACACACAGTCACGCTGAATTTTCGCCATAACCCTGTGCAGAGGGGTTTATGTTATGCTAGTCTATAGTTGAGGAAGCTGAGGCCACTGGAAGGTTTAAAAAATTGCCCAATTTCATCTTATTAGTAACCAATGAATCCAGGATTCAAATGCAGGTCTCTCTGGCTCCTGAGTTCTGTGTTTTGTCCCCTCGCTGGCCCCCTCCAGTGGAGCAACAAGGCGGTCTGTGCTCCAGGTCTTGTGACTTGGGGTGTTCCTAGGATATCCCTCATTGCACTGTTCTAACCTTTTCTGTTATCGCGAGCCAGAAACAAAGGAAATGTGGAATAGGAATTGGGTGAAATGTCCCTTTGTTGCTGGTTTTAGTAGCAGCCCTTCAATAAGTGACTTACCTCAATGTGGTGACTGAGCTGGCTACATCTAGCAATTGTCCAAAAACCACACTTTCTCATTGGTTGCAACGAGATTCGTATGTTTGCCTAATTAAGGCCACCGCCTTACCCTTTTCTCTCCTTGGATTTAGGAATGAAGTCACCACAGCTGGGAAGTGCTCCTTGACCCCTCTAATAGCTTTTACCTCTTGAAGATGGGTTCTGTTTATATTGTTCTTCCAAGTGTTATTTTTCTCCACAAAGCTCAGTAGTCATTCTGGTTTAAGTGGAATATTCTCCGTCCCTATACCTAAGAAATAGCTCTGAGCATAGGCTGAGAGCTGGGTTATTATGAGCTTTGTAAACCAATTGATTGACTCTTTAGAAAAAAGCAGTAGTTCCCTGCTGGTAATAACAACCCGGTGCCATTCTTCACATGGTTGAATTCCCTGAACTCACCTGCTCCTCTGTTGTCATGGCACCATGACTATAATAACAGAGGAGGCCAGGGGAGAGGCTGGATTGGCTGGAGAAATAAAAACAGCCTTTGCTTTTTTGTCTGAACCAGGTGGGTTCAGACAGGCTTGAACCCCGGGTGAGATTGTGTTCACAGGAAGTATATTAGTTTGCTAGGCACCCATAACAACATACCACACAGACTGGTAGCTTAAAGAGCAGAAATTTATTTTCTCACAATTCTGAAAACTACAAGTCTGGCCGATTTGCTTTCTTCTGAGCCCCTCTCTGTGGCTTGCAGATGGCCTCATCTCCCTGTGTATTTATATGGTTTCTCTCTGTCTCCCAATCTCCTCTTTTTTGAAGAACACCAATCATACTAGATAGGATCCACCATAATGACCTGATTTTAACTTAATTACCTCTTCGAAAGTCCTAATTCCAAATACAGTCATATTTTTAGGTACTAGGGGTTAGGATTTCAACACAGGAATTTGGGAGGGGACACAACTCAGCCTGTTACAGGGGGCCTGTGGAGAATCAGAATAGGACAGTCAGGACTGAACAATCACTTGCCATATTCCAAACCATGAGGGCTGAGGCCAGCAGGTCCTCCAGTGCTGGGGTGGCTAGTCAGACCCCAGGAAGGGAGAGGCATCGTAGTGACTGCGAGGACCAGCAGAGATGCCTAAGCAGTGCTGAGGAACAGAAATGGAGAAATGGAGACTGGCCCCAGCCTCCCAGGTTCCAGACATCCAAGGCCAGCACAGCTTCCCCCTTCCCCACATAGCTCAGTGCCCAGGAGGCGTCATGCCTTGCTTCCTCTCCCTGTGAAGTATACCTTGAAGCTACCTCTTCTCTTCCACTAGGTTCCTCTCGCTCTGCCCTGGGATAGAGCATCCTCCTCCTTCACACGGACTATGGCCACAGCCTCTCTCTGCCTCGAAGCCTCTAGCCTCTGCCTGTCCAGACCTTCACTCAGCTGCCTGAGGCCTCTGTGTTTCTGAAGACTGGATCAGGAATGCCTGCTTGATCGCATTCCCCATTGCCTACAGAATAGTTGGCATTCCCTAGTGTGGCACCTGAGACCAAGCTTTAAACCATTGCCTCCAGGGTAACATAATTAGCAAAGCTCTCAGGGCCCATTTCAATCTGGTCAGACCTGTCCGTCCAGCCTGAGTGACCACATGCCCACCCCCCATGTGGTCCAGCATCTCAAATTTCCTCCTCCTTCAGGAGCTCTGTGTCTGCCCTGCTTTCCCTCTCCTGTGTCCAGGCTTACAGAACTCTCCAAGGTCAAGGTCTAATTCAAGTGTCACTTTTCTGCAAAGCCTTCCCCACTGCTCCTCCCAACCCTCGAGGACTCAGTGTCTGCACTTACCATCTTGAATTGGGTTCAGTTTCTTAACTTTGGCTCCCTCCCTAGTCTCTGAGCTCCTTAACAGAAGGATCTTCTTTATCTATCTCTCTGTCTGCACCTCCCCACAGCCCCTCACAGAGCAGGTGCTCCAATGACCAGCGCTAGGTGAATCAGTAGTCATGGGAGTCTCTGCATAACCTTGTTGATGGCCCATGCCGTGGGCTTGTCAGGCTGTCTCATGAGGTCCTTTCCAACCTGAGTGATGACCTCTTCTCTGATAGTGTCCATGACGGGCCTGTCTGCAGCAGCTGTCTGGAGGCTGTCCCTCTCAGTTTGGGACAGTCGGCAGAAGTGCTATAAATATTGTGTAAGTTATGTTAAAATTAGATGTGAGAAAACGGAGCTGCAGATAGAGGCTAAAAACACTGCTCACCTTAAGAGTCCTCATGCGCGTCCCTGTGACGTAGGGCAGCTCACATTTTAGGAGACCAGGACGTGTGGGGCCAGGCAGCAGCAGCTTCGCTGGTGGGCTCTGTCCCAAGCACAGCACATCGTGGATACTTGGCAAGCGAATTCTCTGCTTCACGTTATTCCTCCTGCAGCCTTCCAAGAATTCAACGCGGAAGAAGGTTCTAATAGTGGTCAAAAGAAGAGATACAAGCTCTTGCTCATCACAGAGAAGAGCAAAGCTGGAGGAAACCTAAGGAAAAAAAAAATGTCACCCAATGTTTTTTCAAAAAGTTCTCTTAGCCATAGAACCCTTTATTCAAACAAAATCTTGAATAAGGAAGCCCAGTGAATATTATTAAAGGTGATTTACACTGTAGTGGGGGAAACACTATTCCTGTGCCAAACTTGGAGACTGGTGTTTAGTCAGTCATTTATTACTCATTTATTCATTTGTTCATTCCTATCCTCTCTCTCTTTCTCCAAACATTTATTAAGCTCCTGCTACCAGACAAACACTAAGGTCAAAATAAGTGAGACACAGTGTCTGCCATAAGGAAACCTAAAGTCTAGATGGGGAGACAGATTTGCAAACAAACATTTGGAGTGAATGGGTCAAATCTTTTTAGAGCTCCAGGGCTGTGAGGTGACAGTGAGGTCACCAGAAAAGGAAAAGGCAGTTGATTCTCCAGTTAGTGTCCAAAACAAGGTTGCCTGAATTCCCAAGCCAGTGAGATTTATTCCCTGCCCCGGTGCTGCTAAAGGAATCAAAGAGGACGCCTTCCTGTTGAGGCCTGTGCCCTGTCCAGGCCTCCTGCTCAGCGGGTGCCCCAGCAGTGCGGTGAGGGAGGGCAGGGGCGGAAATCCCCCTGCAGCCATTCGGCACACACAGCTGCTGCCCCACAACGAGTGGGGCCAGCGCCTTGGCCCCATTCTTTTGTCCCAGGCCACTGGAGGGTTAGGAGAGCCTTTGTGCCAGGAGAGCTTTAAATAGCATTGTCACTCATGAGTAAACCTTAGGGAAACCCGGCTTTCTTTCACCAGAAATGAATTGAGCCCATTAGTAGAGGAAAGTCCCCCCAGCCCGTTTCATATTTTAGTGGACGCCACACTCAGTAGCCGCGTCCCCAAGCCCCATGGGAGGCTGCCATTTTTGCCTCCGCATGGCCAGAGCCCTGGGACAATGCCTCACCCTGTAGTTTGATGTATTTGCACTTTATGCTCTAGTGAGTCCAAGCTTTGAGATTGAGTTTTGTGACTTGAGGTAGCCATTTTCTACTAGGTCTGCTTTGGCTTTGGGAGCCTGGAGAGGACAGGAGGTAGTTCCCTTACCATGGTCTGCCTGTGTGGGCCTGAGATAGGACCTGCTTACAGTGAGAGCCCCTGGAAATGTCTGAATTAGGTAGGTAGTATGCACTAGTTAAGGGCACTTGTTACCTCACTTAGACTGAAAGAGGTTAAGAAAGGGAGGGAACTAACTAGTGTGTTGGTAGGGTGCATTCTGAGGAGACCCTGAGCTTGTGCCCTTCTTCCTAGATTGTTAGATTGACAGTTACTGTGATATTATTTGTGTAATGTCTTTCTCTCCCTCTGATCTGCATGCTCCAGGAGGGTGAGGACTGTGTCTGTCCTGTGTTCTCCCAGAGCCCAGCTCCTAGCACAATGCCTGGCAAGCAGTAAGGAACACAGTCAATATGTTGAATGAATATATGAATGATCTTACACGAACTTCTGATGACCTTGTGAAATTGGCATTATTAATAGCCCCTTTTACAGGTTAATAAATTGAGTTTCTAAGAAGTCGAGTAACTTATTTAAGGCCACATGGCCAGTCATTAACTGAGACAGTACTAGCCCAGGGCTTTCAAACTTGTTTATGCTTGAACCTGGAGGTACTCATTTTTTTGATAGTAAAACAGAAAGAAGGAATCCTTTTTTCCAAGGCTCTAGGAACAACTCCTGTTCTGCCTTCTTTCTAGACAAGATAAGTTACTCTCTTACAATTTTATGTCCTACCAGGTCTCAGTCCAGCCAGGTAAGGAGGACGGTTGCAAACACAAGCGCTGAATAGTAGCCTTTTCCACTATCTCTCCTTTGGGTAATTCTGACTGTAAGAATGAAAACATTTTGGGAAAAGGAGGAAGGTGGAGACTGGAGTAATTGTGGAAGGCTTTATTCCAGGACTGAGATTTGAGTTAGGCTTCTGGGATGAATAGGATTCTCCGAAGGCAGTCTGACCCTTGGAGGGGGGCAATGAGGAAAGTGAAGAGACCCACTTATCTGGAACGGAGACAATCAGGGATCACGCCTTGGCCTTGCTCAGGAGCCAGCAGGAGCCCCCTAGGTCCCACAGCTCCTCAGGTGGACCCCAGAGCCTCCGTGTGGCAGGGCCTCCCCAGGCCTCCGGTCTTTTCACCTGCCGTTGCCCTGCCCAGCACTCTCACTGAAGCGAGCAGGCCGGCCTTGAGCAGCATACCTCCTGGGCCTTCTACCTGGACTGCTTTCCCCCTCCTTCGCCCTTCAGCAGAACTTCTACTCAATCTCATCTTAGATATGACCACCTTTGCAAAACCTTCCTGTCCACCTCTTCTGTAACCTCAAATAATTGGACGCCTCCTTTACACTCCCAACTCCTTCCTCATTTGCATCTATTTCTCCATTAGACTTTCATGTGTGTTCTTCTTTGCCCTTACCCAGCCTTCCATTCTCCACCCCATACCCTTCCACTTGCATTTCAGGAATAACAACCTGCCCTTATATCTTCAGTCCCTTCCAGAACATTCTCTCCAGTTTCATCTATTAATTAAAACCTACCCTCACCCTAAGTTGACTTTCTCTTCCTAACCCCTCTCCTGCTTCTTTTCACACTCCTCGACCCCTCCAAGTCAGGACTTAGGTAGGTACTTTTGCATTCTACAAGGCCAATTTAGAAATATCTTCTCCCATCCTCTAACTTAAACAAACAAATAACTTCCTTAGCAACAAAATCTGCTTCTCTGCTCCTTTTCTGAAAGTTGTGCTGTTTAGAGATAGTGACCTTTCCTCCTTTACATTACTGCCATTTATCGCCTTTCATCGAGGACTTTGTCTCCAGCTGTGGACCTTCTCCACCCCCGCCCTGCCATCATCTCGGTGGCATCAGCACCCGTGTAGCTCCTCCAACACTGGCCTCTCCCAGCTGGAATACTTCTCCCCTGCATTCCCCGTCAGCCACTTCCAGAGTCACACCCTGGATTGTGGCCTTGTGTGAGATTCCTCCATGTGGATCATAAAAATCATAGAATCATAGAAATCAGCAGTTCTAGCAACATACTCTGACCAGAGATGCCGCTTTCTCAGCCATGCCTCTGAACTCACCAGTCTCCAGGCCACTTAGCCCTCTCTCTACTCTGCCCGTCTGTTTACCTGTCCCCTCACTGCTCCCGTCCTCTAACCCAGTCCAGCCCAGCTTGGATTCCATGCTCTGTCATTTCCACTCTTCCTGACAACACTCTTAAGGTTTGGCCCCTATATCTTTTCACTGCCCTCTTTTGCGAAAAATCACAACCCTAAATAAACCCAGTGTTTACTTTCTCCATGCCTGTGGAAGCAGCCACGCAGAGGAAAACATGCCACAGAAAGAAGTGTATGCTGTACATTTGTGATCATCAGCCTTAGCTGAGCCCGTATCAGTGTCCAGAAGCCTCACGTTCTCTGATCACCTTGCTTCCACACTTCTGCAACTTCTCTTTCAAACCTTCTCTGACATCTCCAACCCTCACTCCCAGCCGATAACTTCTTCTCCTGTGAACACCCAGCACCTCTGTTTGTCATCTCTCCTTTGCTCTGTTACAGCAGCTGAGATGACCTCCTCTGCATGAGGCCAGTCCCCGTACCCAGGCCGCCCTGGCCCCCGTTCTCCATTCTTGAGGAATTCAGCTCATCAGCATTTAAACATGCTCAGTTTCTCCACCTTAGACCACTTCCACTTAGCAGTTGAAACTCTTGGGAGATTTGTGTCCATTTGCTGTTTTATTTCTTCACCTCCTGTTCTCTGTTCAAACTACTCCTGTCTGAGTGCGACAGAGCTTCACTGGCTCATGGGGAACCTCCACTCAGCTAAATCCATGGGCAGTTTTCAGTCCTTGTATTACCTGATCTTTCAGAGCAGTTCAGCAGTGTTGGCCACTCCTCCCTTCCTGAGCACTGGCCTCCTTGGCCGCCTGTAGGAACCCATCTTCTGCACCTCCTTCGACCTCTCAGCTGTCCCTTCTCAGTCTCTTCCACCAGCTTATCCTTTATCCAGCTGAATAAATGCTGGAGTTTCTGAAGCTCAGATGAAGGTTCTTTGCTCACTCTAAACCCTCTCCATGGAGTTTCAGTTACCACCTACTTGCTAACAATTTTTGGAATATCCCCAGATGCATGTCTCAGAGGTTGTTAAACTCAAAGTGTGTAAGTAGATGTGAGATGCATACATCTCCTCCCCCCACCCCCAACCCTGCCAAATTCTGATCCCCATTGTTGGGAATCCTATCTCGATGATGCCACTACGGTCATCCATCCAGTTATGATGGCAGTGAGCTCCAACCCTTCCCTGTCACTCCGCCCCCAGATCTAGTGCGTCTTGTCTCCTCCATACTTCTCTTATCCTCCTGCTTCTCCCCATCTGCGCTCACCATTCTGGGCCAAACTACCAGCAGTATTGTAGGAAATTCTGAATTTATCAGCACATTCTAGTCCCCTCCAGAAATTTTCCCCACTGTAGCCAAAATGATCTTTAGCAAAAAAAGAAAAAAAAAACAGCAACAAAACAAAACACACACACACATAGTGAATTATGTCTCTGTTAAAAACCTTTCTGTGGCACTGCCCTGAGGCTGAGCGGCCAAGTCCTTAGCAAAGTCGTGCACACTCTGCACCATCTTGGCCCTGCCTGTCTTTTCCCTTTCTGAGCCTTTGTACATGCTGTTTGCTCTTCACTTAAAATGTTTCTCTGCTCAGCCCTATCTGGGCACTGGCCTAATTAACTCTTTATTTACCTTTTTTTTAAATCTCATCTCCAATGCAGCTGCCTCAGGGAAGACTCTCTTCACCACCCTCCCCCGAAGGAAACTACCTCAGGGCTCCCAGTTCCTTCCATGCTTTCATGGCATCCTCTCCATCTGCTCTGGAGTATTTCTTATCATGAAATAATTTCTTCCCTGCTGGGATGTGAACTTCTCTTTCTCACAGCTGTTTCCCATGTCTTGTACAAAAGAGGTGCTCAGGAAGCTTTGGTCAAATGAATGTCATCACCTTGTAACTTGGAATGAATGACACATCACTTTGTCTTATATATTCAGTTAATTTCCCCTCCTGTAATGTGCGATTGGGGCTTGTTTTTTTTATATCTCTTTCACCTGTATCTGGTATTGTGTATGCATGCAGTATGTGCTGGTTGAATGAATGAGTGAGTGGAGTGACAATTAAGTTGAGCAAGAAGGGTGAGCCAGAGAATGAACATCCCCACAGACAGCAATGAGAAAAGCATTGTAAGGTCCTTATCTGCAGGACTTGGATTATCTGGGTTGCATTAACTTTTAGCCATAAAAATGCTCCCGAAATTTGTTCTCTATAAAAAGCCAGTCTCTGATCCCAGTTTCTCAGCAGGGTTTAACTGCCCCTTAACTTGAAGCTTCTGTTCCTTTTTTTTTAAATGGAAAATAACAGAGAAATCTCGTTGTTTCATACTCAGTGGAAACAGCTTGGCTCCTGTCTTCTCCCCAGGCTCAGCAGCTGATGTGTCTTGGTTATAAACTTCCCCAGCACCAGACTCTCATTAGGATTTACTGCTAGAGACAGACAGATCTTGCTGCAGTCATGCGTGAAGACAACATCTAATGCTATCACTGTGCTTTTGTACTCGGCAGTCTTCATATCTTAAGACAATAGCATTAATAGATAATTATAATAAATAGCAATATTTTTCCTTCTTGTCATTACTGCTTATTTAAAAAGATATACCTTTACTAATAAGTCTGTTACCACCCCCTCCCTCCTTAGGAAACTCCCCTAATTGAATCTCTACTGAGATATTTCCCAAAGAATTTCTATGTTGTGTATTAGAATTTGTTCTAAATTTTCACCTCCCCTTCTGCGGCAGTCTCTCATAATTGCCAGGGGTGCAGGCGGAAAAGCCCTGGTTCTGCTGTAATCAACATTGACAGGTACCATTGCTGAATAGAATGCAAGAGTGGGTGCTGGCATGGAAGACGAGTTTGGATTGAGGCATGTGGTGTTTGACAGACCTATGAGACATGTAAGTGGGGATGCCTAGGAAGCAGAAGGATGTATGTTTGGAGTAAAATGATTCTGGGGACATAATACAAAGCATTGCTCTTGCTTGCTGCCAACTGATCACCCAAACTGCTTTATTTACTGTAAGGATAGCTGATAGTGAGTCCCTACTAAGCATCAGACACCCTATTGCACACAACACACATTATAAAGTAGGTACTATTACCATCCTCGTTTTATAAAGGAGCAGCCTGATGCTTGAAAAATTTTGTAATGTACCTGGGCCATGCATCTTGTTTAAGTGTCAGAGCTGGGATTCTAACCGGCAGTCTGAATCTATCACTCATAGTCATCATATGCTATGTCTTTTTCAAAATATTTAAACCACAGCCTGCAGATAAAAGTACACTTTTCATCATAAGCCAGGATACACAGATGCACATCACACATGGCTGCACACACTCACACAGGCAATTCAGTAGAATTTTAGCAAAATGGAACTTACCTTACTAAATGTGATACAACCTGATATTTTCTACTCGTCTGTGTCATTTTTTATGATGTTGGTTGCTCCCTGCTAGATTGACTTCACAACCAGAATTTGATTGAGCTTGACAAACACTGCTGTATTTTAGTCTCCTGGGGAGAATATTTCATTTCTCCTTGCAATTCCCCCACCTTTGGGGAGAGAGCACTGAATGTTGCTGCATGCTTCTCTGTCCTCTCAAGAAGGTATGAAGAGTAAACGGTGGGGTTTAGTGCGATAGGGCCAGCCAGGAGCATTTCGGTAGACTGATCAAGGCTTATCTTTAATGCGGCCAACAAAGGTTATTGGAAAATGTCAAAATCACAACCCAGAGTGCAGTACAAAACTGTGTGTCCCAAATAGTGATTACCAGTATACACTTTAGGAGCCCACAGACTGGGGTTCAGAGTCCAACTCTACATCTTATTAACTATATAATCTATAGCAGATATTTGGCATGATAGGAACATTGTAGAAGGGTAAAATTGAAATAGTGTGTTGGTTCATTCATTGCCTGCCACAAGCCTCTCCCTCAGTAGGCATTAAAGAAACAGCATTAATATCTTTATTAATTTAATATGTTATAAAATATAGACTAAAGTACAAAGTGAATATTCATCCATAAAAGCAAATTAAAATTTCCAGACTATTCAGTAATGAACCAATTTATCATTCAATTATGTGTTTAGTCAATCAGCATTTATTTAGAACAAGTTAGTAGTAGGTCATTTAAAGGAGATGAAATATTGACTTTGTTTGACACAGGATATAGGTTTTGGAAGAGCTAAATATAGCTTTGGGCATAGAGTTGTTTATTTCAAGACATTTGGAAGAGAGGTCACCTTGCAGGTCCCTGTGAATGTTAACATTACTTCCTTCATAGAAGACAGTGTCACTCTAGAGCACCAAGCCACATGTGCAGGAATTCCATTGACCTTCCAGGAAATCATCGATGCAAAAGAGCTATTTGATTAAGTACACGTGGTCCCTACACATACTGATCCCAGAACTAATCATGTTTATGAAATGAGGAAGTTTTTAGAACACTCTCAAACTCATTAAATGCAAGGATTAGATTCTATCTCAGGAGGGAATGAAGAAAAACATTCTATGTTGATTGTATAGATTAAGCAATAAAAAGACTCATGCAGCTTGAGGTTCTACATTGTCCTTTACCTTTTCTTTTAATAGAAATTGAATTTTAAAAGGAAATACAGTTCAAAAGTTATTCCTATTACTTGCACTTATAATTTTCAGTGCAGTCCCCTTTGAGTTTCTCTCATTAATTTTAGATTTGCAGTAGGTAGGTGCCCAGTACCAGTTAAAATTTATTGGGCACTTAATCTTAATTTCCAAGTAAATGGTCTCCCAACTCTCAGTGCCAAGGAGGATGAATGGAATGGCTTGAGGGTAAAGGTTAGAGAGGGAAGAATAAACAAAATGAGAAATTCTAAGGACACTCCAGGCTGCTCTGGCTCTCAGGAGCACGAGGCTCATGAATCCTCGTGTTCACCACGCTCAGCAGCCAAAGCGTGTTTACTGGGCATCACAGATGTGCCAGCCATTAGCTGGGCACACTGGGCCGGGGTTTCAGCTAGTTCTCACAGAAATCTTTTAAAATGGGTATTACTATCTTCTTTTCATAGATGAGAAAATTGAGGATCAGAGAAGTTAGGCAAGTTGCCCAGGATAACACAGCTTGAGGAGGCAGATTCACAATTTGAATCCAGGGTCAGTGACTTCAAAGCCTGATCTACCTCTTCCATGGCCTCTCATATCTGCATCATGCCACAAACTCCAGCAAAAATACCACTAGTGCTATTTGTTGAGGACCCCAGCCTGCTAGCACTAAACTAGCCCTCATAATTCCGAATTAATTCCAAAATATAAAAGGATATAAAGGACACAAGTTTGAAAGAAAAGATCGCTAGGCAGAAACTCCGTGGAGGCAGGGTCCATGTGTGTTGGATCTCTCATTGTATGTTTGGTATTTGGTACTGGCTGGTCCTCAAAACATACTTGATAAATGAGTGATTATGTAAATAATGAACCAATAATTTGAAATGGAATTCAGGGTTCAAGTCCTATTTCTGCAACTTGCTAGAGCCTTGATTTTAAGCAAATCATTAAATCCCTTAGCCTTAGTGTTACAATCTGAAAAATGGACAAACACTTTCACAGTTGACCGTATAGAGCAGTGGCTCCCAAACTTTGCTGTACCTTGGAATCACCTGTGGACCTTTAAAAACTCGTCATCCAGGCCCCATTCCCAGAAGCCAGACTAAAGAGTATGGGTGTTACCTGGACATTTCGTAGCACCCTGGGTGGTTCTAACAGGTAGCAAAGTTTGGGAACCACTGTCAAAGGGACATTCTTTTTGTTTTTTGGGGGGGGTTGTCAAATACAACAAAGGAAAAAAACTGCTTTGTAAAATCTTAGAGGCAGTTAAATATAAACAGTTGTTATAAAATCAGTCCAAAGTGACTCTGGATCCAGAACTCTGTCTCCTGAAGTCACAACAGAGAAAACGAATTACTCTGATCTCCTCTGTGCCACATCAGTCATCTGTCTCCAGGGCAAAATGACCTCCTTCCTGATTCACCTAGTCGGATGGCAGAGTTGAGGTCAAGGCAGGCCCAGGAGGAGGAGCATTTGGCTAACATCGGGGCTGGAACAGGGTAGTGGTGATCAGCTGGACAGTTATCGTGTTGGATGAACTTGTCCTTGGTCAGTCTCACGTCCAGTTCTAGTGCCCCCACCCACTCATCCACATTTACGAGGCATGTTTGCACAATGCCTATTCAGAGACCCTCCCAAGCGTGTCTGTTTGCTTTATTTCTCCTGGTCAGAGTTCACTTTTGGACCCAATCCTCCCAGGCTGGGCCTGCCAACGGGCTGTTGTGTTGTTAGAGGAAGGAAGCAGTACTCCCTTGGCCTCAGAAACTCCCGGGCCCATCACCTTCCTCTGCCATTGCCCAACTGAGGTTCAGCAGAGTTAGAAGGCCATCAGGGTGCCAAGAACAATATTGTTTAAATTTTAAATAATAGTTTCTTAGGAAGAGGGGGTCATGAAGCATTCAAACCACCACAGGGAATTTTGCCAAGAGAATGATTCATAAGCCTTCCAGCTCTCCACCTCCGTTCCTTTGTTCAGACAAAATTCTAGAGTTGCCCAGTATTTCAGGAGCAGGTTCTTCCATTTCCTTTCCTTGTTGGTCCTTATCCAACGACCTTGAGTAAAGTAGCCTTCCAATGGCAAAATATAGCTGAAATAGTCATTATTCTCACATGCTTGCAAATAGCATGTACTAGCCACATGTCCTCAGTGTGTCATTGACCCATGTGAGCCTCAGTCTCCTCTTCTGTAAATGGGGATAATTCCTGCCCTGTCTAGGATCCAATGACATAAGCCATCTGTGACTATTTCAGAAACGATAAAAGAAAAAATGTGCAAGACGTGCTAGATGAAAAGAGCACACAGTTTATGTAGACACAGGCCCTGCCCTCAAGGAACTTATAATATTATTGTGCTGTAGTCCTGTGTTAGCTGCTTTGAAGTGTCTGCATCCCTGAAGGAAAAGGAGACAAGAAATGCCATAAAATGCAATTAGCTCAATTGCTTATGGTCCTGAACATACAGGGATTTGAACCTGTGCAAAAGTCAGTCATCTTTTAACCTTTCTAGCACACATTTGAATGTACAAAGGCATCTCAATGTCTGCCTTCCAGCTCTCCATCTCCATTCTCATTTGATTGACACAACCACCCAGCGAAGGCAGCTGACTCAGAGGTGAAGTAACTTCTGCCCAGTCACACAGCCCAAACTTGGAGGAAGTGAAGGTGGAACTTCTGTCTTCCAGTTCTCTTCGCACTCCCCCACCCTGACTGTGTGAGGGCAGCACCTCCAGGCCTGGTCATTATCCCATGGAAGGAAAATGGAATTGTATCGCCACTAGCATATGAACTTGTGTGTGGATCACGGACAGACGGGCCACAGCAGCCTCTGCACATTTGCAGCCCGCAATACCAAAGCCCAGCCTCTGGGCCCAAAGCTGGTTTAGGCTGGGCCCTGGGCAGTATGAGCAGTGTTGTTATCTTCCACTCCCCTTTCGGGAATTGACGATGTGTTTCTGGATCTGTAATTTTGCACCTGACTGCAGAAGTATGTCTGGGAGGAAGGCCATTCTTAGGTGTGTGTCTCCTAAGACTTCCCAGTGCTATGTTCCCAAGATCCCTGTGTAACCATCCCAGGGGTGCACTCAGGGGCCCTCGTAAACCTGAGGTTCAGTGAGAGTACAGCAGCCTCAGTGATCCCACTTCCTGTCTCCAGCCAGGGTCCTTGTCAGACTAACTCATAAAAATCCCAAACAATTAGTGATGAAGTACTGTGCAAAAGGAGGAGGAAATGCCTTCCAGTCCCCCTAACAGCCAATCAGCTTTAACTGTACAGTTGGAGAGCTGAGTGCCCGCAGCTCTGTCCCAGCTATGGCTGTGTCCTTGCTGTTGCAGTTGATGAATGGAGGAAGCTGGTTATGGCCTAAGCAGTCTGCTCGGAGCATGACGTAATAACGGTGGAACTGAAAACCTTTACTGTTACACGTGCATCTGCTAATCCTTCCTTTGAGTAAAGATGCTGGTTAGAAGAAACACGGCCACCTGTGTGTCTTGGTCCAATTGCATAATCGCAGAGGTACAGGCACACCCGTTTCCAGATGGGCTGACTGGCCTGGTGCTCATAGAGGATCACTCAGCAGTGAACTATTAAGATAACTGGCTCTATTTGGAGTAGCAGAATAATTTAATCTCTAATCAACTAAAAGCCACTTCAGTCAACTTGTTTAATCTGTTAAGATTCAGGGGCAGCTGATTAGCTCAGAGAAACAAGTATGAACTTTGGCAGCTTATGGACCTGGGGTCTACTCCTGGTTCTTACAATGACTCATTGTGTGACCTCAGGCAAGTTACTTACTCCTCTGGCCTCAGTTTCCTAGTCCACAAAATGGTTTAATAATAGTCAGATTATAAACCCAGGGTTGCTGTGAGGATTGGAGATGACAGGTTTAAAGTGCCTATCTCAGAGCCTGACCCAGTCCAACTGGTTCATAAAAGGGTAATGAGGATGATAATATTATTGTGCTGTAATCCTGTGTTAGCTGCTTTGAAATGTCTGCATCCCACTACCTCGAGTTTTATTACCCAATAACTAATGTGTAAGAAATC